TTATTAGAGCATAAGCTTTCGTGGGCTCCCCACGAAAGCTTATGCTCTAATAAATTTGTTAGTCTCTAAGGTGCCACAAATACTCCTGTTCTTTTTTCAAAGTGAGTGACTTTCATGCAACTGGGTGTCATTGTCTCAAGCACGTACACATCCAGGATGGATTGTCAATCTCTGCAGCAAACAGGATGGAGATCAGAGTGAGTCACTGATTGTGGAGCGGTTTCATATAGCTAGTTGAAAAAGATTTCTAAAACAAATTCTGTGTCTGCAAAGCATCCTTGATGGCTACTGAGAATGTGAACTGCATTGCTGGGGAAGACAGACTGAGCCAGCTATAGGCTCCCTTGTTGCTGAATGAAGCCTTTGAGCTCTTTAGAAAATCCTGTGGCTGTTTCTGAACACAGGCTGATGGAAATCCTAGGATGTGAAGATACCTTCTCTCTGATACCAAATGTCACCATAGCAGGAGATGGGGAACCTTGCAAATAAACTGTAATGATCAGTACAGTGGCATTGTTCTCTCCCGTGTCCCATTGTAAGGATTTCAGGTTGGTGAGTTGAGGTCAGTCCTGTACTTGGATGACTGGTTGTCTGAGTAACTCCTTAAATGTTGTGGGAGAAAAGCTGGCTGGTGCTGTGACCCAGTGATGTGGTGTGCAATCTAGATCCTTTTGCTTGCTTTCCCACCTTGATCTGGACCTTCCCCTCTGTGAATAACTGGCTGTTGTCCCCAATGAGCTGAATTAGGTGATGCTGTAACACAGACTGCAGCACAGCCAAGTCCAGTTTGAATATCTCTGCCTAGGTTGATGAGTTTTGTAATTGTCCTGCTCTGTTCCCTGCACCCTCAGTGCTCTGTATTTATGTGATCTGCCTTTTAATCAAGCCATATAGCTTTTTCAGCTCTAACTTCAGCCGTTACCTCTTTCCATTCCAGATGGTATGACTGGGCTGAGACCCACCAACCATATTTCATTTTGAGCACATACCAGTTTCAAAAAGTTAAAAACGATTGCCTATATCCCACAAGAAATTGTTTTTGTTCCCCTACGATGATCCCCTGGTGAAGGCTGACGAGGAAAATGAGTTGTTGGTGCTGGTAGATCCGAAGGACTTTCTCAAGCGTCTCTTTTCTATAACTCAGGTAGTGTAAATCTCTGAACTTCTGTCTAAAGAGAAGTCTGGGGAGAACTGCCTTTTAACAGTAACACAGGTGGAAGGGCGTTATTCCAGAACTGTGTTACAGAATGCACAAATGTGAATGGAGAGAGCTGTGGGGTGGGATAGCCAGGATGAATTTGATTTAAATCAAATTGATTTAAATCACTAGTCAGGAAGACTTGATTTAATCATGGATTTCTACATAAAAGTGCATTCTTGTTGGTGGCTATAACGTTGATACATATTCTTCACAACTCAGAGATAGATGTAGGTTTCATTTTTAGAAGGTACACACTATACATTTTTAAAGTGATTTATTTTGAAAACTTTTCAGATTAGTTTTACAGCTATATCAGAAAATGAAATGTTTGGTTATTTTATTTACCAAAGGTAATTGAAGCAGATATTTATGAAGTCATTGGGAGGAGAACTATCTTCAATTCAACAGGTTAATCATTAATATTTGGAGGATTTTCTTGCCATGCTGTATTAGGAGGAGAACATTACCAGACAGACATTTAAATTGTTTTATTAAGAACATAAGAACGGCCGTACTGGGTCAGACCAAAGGTCCATCTAGCCCAGTATCCTGTCTACCGACAGTGGCCAATGCCAGGTGCCCCAGAGGAAGTGAACCTAACAGGTAATGATCAAGTGATCTCTCTCCTGCCATCCTTCTCCACCCTCTGACAAACAGAGTCTAGGGACACCATTCTTTACCCATCCTGGCTAATAGCCATTAATGAACTTAACCTCCATGAATTTATCCAGTTCTCTTTTAAACTCTGTTATAGTCCTAGCCTTCACAACCTCAGGTAAGGAGTTCCACAAGTTGACTGTGCGCTGTGTGAAGAAGAAATTCCTTTTATTTGTTTTAAACCTGCTGCCTATT